ACAAGACAACGAGGAGAGGTACGGGTTAACGAGTCGTCATCCTGGTAATGTACAAATGTTCAACTGAAAATTAGCATTTTGTCATCGCGTCCGCTCGACCGTCGCGGCCAAACCGGTTTCATCGGGTTTGTAACCAGTCGAAGCGGCACGTTTCCAGTCTCCTCCACCAACAATGGAGTGAAACGTCTTATTTGATATATAAATGGAGTATTTAGAGAGAAAGGCGATCGATTATCTGCTCTTTTGTAGGAAAGTAATGAAGTGTTGTTGTTCAGTTGACCCTGGTGTCTTCTCGTCTTCGGTCACATTCCCTAGTGTTGTGAAAGGAATTGGTCTCATTTATTGATCATTTTAAGAATTTTTCCAGGGGTTAGACGAGGGAAGACCTCTTTTCATGAGTAAAATTGTAAGGGCAGAAAATTGACATTTAAATTTCATGGAATCACATTTTCAAGCGAATATTTCGTAATTGTTTACGCTGAAGGTGTTGGGAAATGATTATGTTGGCGTCTATTGATTGGTGGCTTAAATCGTTCTCGCAAATAGTTTAAAAACACAACTGATTTTTCCAGACCAAAGGGTTAGTTGTGAGATTCATATGTCCTTTATATGCATGGTTGAAAACACTGTGAAATAAATAATTCCAAGCCTGACACAGGGCCCCATTAAAACCAGCCTGTCTGGCTGTGGTGGGTTCACCCTGGAAATATCCATAATAAACAATCATTTCAAGAAGTTGAAAAATACCGCCTGGTGTTATTGTGATAACTGTAGAAAGCAACCTGCAATTTTAGAATCGATAGGGGTTTTGATCGAGTGGTTTCAAAATCGCAATATGGCTTGGTTTCGTGGTCTAGCACATAGTAATTTTCGATTGTCAACAGGTTCCTATCGGAAGTTGGCAGTAGTTTCGTTGAAACACGTTCGAAATTATGTTTATCATTTTCTACTTGAGAAACGAATTTTGTTTGACGAGGAAAGTAGATGTTTTAAAGGGGGAGATAGTCATCCAAACAATGGGATCATGCTACAGCATATCAAAGTTTTTTTTCATCGAATTTTGCCGTTGGACCGTAAAAGTACTGGGGCGTTTCTCTTAGGGTGTCACGTGAACGGCAAGTGAGCTCTGGTACAAAGTGTATGGAGACAATTTGTGAGGCCACCAATAGAAATTAAGTCTTTCATTTAAAAGGTAACCTGGTCAAACATGAGAAACCTCTATTTGTCCCGAAATAGCTTTTGAACCTGATATGTATCTCGTCATGCGGACATTCGGCTCATCTGACGTGTGGGAATCAACATTTTTCTATTTCGATAGAACTTTCATATTCTCTCTCTTACCGCTAAATTTATGAAAAAAGCGAGAGCAGTAAGCTAGATACCAACGAAATATCACTGGGCACGTGATCAGAGCTAAAAAGGACGTGGCCTAAGCCTCCCTTCCCCTAGGATAAGAGCGAATCCTTCCCATGGGCCTCCGCACGCATTAACGCCCTAACGTGGATGTCGCGATTTTCAAGTGAAATTTCTCAACGCATTCTGTGACATGTCCTTTCCATTACAAAGAATTAAATTGAGAGAAGAGTAATAGCGCAATTACATCTGATAACGATGCATAGTATTTTTCGAGGATCAGCGAAGACGCTGTCGTACAATTCCCACTCTATATCCTCAACGATTGTCGGCAAATCGTTCGAAGGAGTGTCGACTCAATTACCTATTCTGTACAGTAAAGTTACAATCCTTGGATTCTATCGTTCGTTTTCGCATTCTCAAAGAGGTAAGGCAATCGGTACACAGAAGGGAGGTTACCTTGCAACTCTGGGAAAGCCATGGCCGAGAGTGCATCGAGAAACTAATCGATTTTAGTCACATGCCCACGCGAAACCTGTACCCTCTTAACTCCTAATCTTTACCTTGACGCCTATTGAGCGAACGGAGTCTGATAAATTTTTCACTGCTCATAATTTTCAAATAAGTTGAGGAGAAATTGAAATTGTTTCTTTTCATCTTCAGGCGCCCGAAGACTTGGAACCGCTGTAAGAAATTACATGCGAACCCTCCGATGGTTCAGTATTCCAGCGAGTGTTGGCTTCGCTTACGTTTGTTATCAACAATTCTGGCACATTAGGGAGAGAGAAAAACGTAAATTACATGCTGGTGAATCTCTTGAACCTAGTCAATGGCAGGTGAGGTTGCGTAACTGAGACGTCTTTTGGTGTCACGCGAGTTCGAGTTTCACTTAAACGGGTGAATTTTTAGTTAAATTACCCACTTTGTAATCATTTCAGGTTGCATTGTTCAAGAAATTGCCCACAAGAGCTTGTTCACGTGCTTTAGGTGCAGTTTGTGATATTGACTTGCCACCATGGTTACGTAAACCCATCATTGGCTCATATTCGTGGTATTTTGCCTGTAATGTTACTGAAGCTGTAGAGGAAGAAATTGTTAACTATTCAAGTCTCGGAGCCTTCTTCAGAAGACAACTTAAACCTGATGCAAGAAGAATCTGTGATGCAAGTTGTATCGTAAGTGCTCATTTTATTTTATGATTTGTCAGTAGGAAGGTGTCATTTTCTTCAAACATTTATTTCCTTTTCATAGGGTCTTTTTAAATGAGTCAGTTATAAGTTAATGGCCAAACTACAACTACTTTTCTGGAGCTGGAGGAGTAATCCTGTTTGAAACCTAGTTAAATTTCATTCACTCTTCCTAGGTGAGCCCTGCAGATGGTACTGTTCTGCATTTTGGTGAGGTGCAAAATGACTTAGTGGAACAAGTCAAAGGAATAACTTATTCAATGAAAACTTTCCTTGGACCTAATCAACCATCTGCTTCCACCTACAAAGAACTAGAGTCTAATGACAATAAAAAGCTTTATCACTGTGTTATTTATCTTGGACCCGGTGACTACCACTCCTTTCATTCACCAAGTGAATGGAATGTAAAGCAAAGAAGACATTTTCCAGGTTTGTCATCTTTTCATGCATAGTTGTTTTTCATGATTAGACCAAGAAGGCTAAAGTTTTCACTTAGTAGGGTACAATATTTTCCTGTAGCTAGCCTCATGTGACAACTTACAACACAGTTACCTTTCTTTTAAGAAGGTAAATCTTTCTCTTTAAAAGGAAACCTTCTGTAATTATCATTCTCATTGTTTTTCTCCTTTTTCCAGGAGATTTGTTTTCTGTGCATCCAGGAATAGCTCGTATGGTTGCTGGACTTTTCAACCACAATGAGCGTGTTGTTCTTACTGGTACATGGAAACATGGATTTTTTAGTTTTACTGCCGTTGGAGCTTACAATGTTGGATCTATCAACCTCAAGTTTGATCAGGTGACAAATTATTCCCTAAGTTATATCCATCTTTGACTTGACCAAGTCCATTCAGTTTATTTCTCTTTTTTTCCTTGTCAGTGTAAACTGAGGCTTAAGTGTATTGCATCTTCATCCCATGGCTAAGGCCTAATCAACTAAAATGTAGAGAATACCTCTTTTTGAGCTGCTTACTAGTTAATACATCTTTCAGAAAATGCATCTAGATTTGCATTCCCTTTCTGAAATTAAGAGATGCCAAGTATTTTTTCCTTGGATAAATCGAGCAGTTCTTTGCTTCCATTAACCTCCACTTTCTTTCAAGCTACACTGAACAAAGACTTAGCATTTGTAAAAGATGCAAGGGTGGTGTCAATGGCTTTTTTCCATCTTGAACTTAACCATTTCCATATAATTTGACAGGATTTGAAGACAAATTGTCCAGGGAGATATTCAGAAGGATCATTTGATGAGTGTGACTATATTAGTGATGAACCTAATGGAGTATCCCTTGTGCGCGGTGAAAGAATGGGAGCATTTAACCTTGGATCAACAATTGTCCTGATATTTGAGGCCCCCACAGACTTTAAATTTGATGTGCAACCTGGACAGAAACTGAAATATGGTGAACCAGTGGGATCTTCAAGAGAAGATACAGATTAGACAAATTATCAAGTAATGTAGCTAATTTTTGAGGTGGAGATGCATGTATTTTTGTTTTCTTGGGATATTTAAACATGAGAGCTCTTTCTAAATCTTCTTCTGAAACTCAAACACTCAAGATTTCCATATACCCAAAAAACATTGTCTTAAGAGAAATCTTTTTTCTTGCCATTGTTTTCTTTTACCAAATTACTGTGTGCATAATGAATTATGGGGTTATATGGAAATCTTGTCAATATCTCTATGGTTTAGTTATCATTAAGTTGTTGTTGTGGAGGGCTGTGTTGATTATGTGGACCACGCATATTAGCAAGTGGCAGTCTGCTCTTCAAAGAAAGAAACTAATAAAAATAATTCAAGTGGAAAAATATCACACAAAAAAAACTGCTGATGAAATTAAAAGCAGCTCTAAGGTCTGCAGGTAATCTTATCAATGACATTAACATTTGTCCATGAGACAGCCCATGTTCTGTCAAGGACTAAAATTTAGTGAGTATTGAAAACTCTTGAATTTAATTGTTAGTTTAATTGATTTGGGTGAGCTATATGATCATCTGAATATTTTTCATTGTGGCTTTACAAAATCTTAGTCTAGGTTGTTCAAACACATTCATGCAACTCATTATTAAATAAAAGGATCAAATTCTCTCTGATTTTCAATATGACATGTTTAAAAATCCTGAGAAACTTGTTGAATCTGTACAAAGATTATATTGGAAAAAATATTTATTATACATAATTTGTTTATAACAAGGGGAACCAATGATAGGTGTGAACTGATCAATCAATTATACTTATTTCACCTATGTTAGGTTCACAATTAGAATTTATTTTTACTAAATGTTTACAAAAAGAAAAAAACATAACATTTTTTTTTTAAGGATTAGACATTTAATCCTACCCCAAAAATTATTGAAAACAAAGTTTGTAAAGCTTGGTCCCTTGGTAGGCAAGGTCAGGTGGAATCATGAAGAGGATTTAGTTTGTGCAACCTTCCATGGACCAGGTGTAGTTTGAGGACTATGTAAGGCTGGAAATGTTTTAAATCCATACTTGCAAGTAAAGTTAACTTGGTTCTGTATGTAATGTCCCAACAATCTGTGGGAATCACCATATACCAATGTTGTTGGTGTTGAAATTTGATAGTAGGAAAGAGACTAAAAGAAACCTTGACAAATTAAAGTAAAGTAAAGGACCCAAAATACAGGAAGTGTCGCATTTTAATAGAAAAAGAGAAAAATTGGAAAAATATGTGCTGCATGCTCCATTTAAAGAGCAAGTATTTTTTCATTCAGACTGGTAAAACTCTCCAATGGTAGCTCAATGTAGTCCACTTTAGTGACACAGTTGTTTCTGAAGATATCTAGACTAGTTTTTACAAAGATGAGAAAGTTACAGAAACAGTTCTGGCAACCATTTAAGAATTTCAATTCTTAGGTCCTGTTGCTTCTTTTCACTTGTGTTAAACTCATCCTTCATTGTACTGCTTGAATTGTCAATAAAATGTTCTAAATTTTTCAAAATAGTTCTTGTTGATGAAATATGTCACAGACGAATCTCCCCTTCCAGTGGCTCACAACTTCTTCTGGATCTTGAAGGTAAAAGTTGAGAGACTGTGGAATCTAGTTACACAGGAATGACACTGGCTTTGATCAGTTCACTTTGCAAACTCTTAAATGTTGATGTTTGTGGACCCCTATAAGCGACTAGCATCTAATTTTGGCTCAATCACCCCCAAATGACAAGGTTACAAGAATAAAATTATCACCACCTAAAGAGACTTGATTGTCAAATTCTCCTTGACAGAACCTAAGGAAATGTATAGAGTACAGTTGGGAGAAAATGCAAGCCGATGTTATGGTGTAAACGGTGAAATCAACTCACACAGCAGATACAACAAAAAGGCTTGTGATACAAACACCAAACAATTTATTTCAGCCAGAGAGAGCCTTCTGAGTTGGACACAACTTTTCCTTAGTTGACATATTTTCAGCCATACTAAGATGATGGGTTCTTGTGATATTTAAGGACATCTTTGTACTGTGATGGAGCCTTGTCAGACTGTGCTTGGTGCCATTCTGACCACACATCAGATGATAACTCTGCCAGACGTTTCTTACGCCTTATTTCTATAAACCTCTGCTCAAGCTTGTCGGCTATTAAAGCTGCAAGAAAAGATGGATGTAATGAGTTCTGTTAACTTTGCAACATTAGAAAATGAAAATCAAATCATGATTACCACTGAGAAGTGGGAGGTGAAGTGGGCAAATTGCCACAGCACTTGATTTTAGGGGAAGGTCATTGAGTTGTAGTCTTGAGAAAGATTCTATACTCTGACAGTACCCTCTCTACTAAGGATGTTGCTGACCTACCAGGGAAACTTGACAAAACAAGGGGGGAGGGGGGGGAAAGGACTTGTAATGGACTAAAATGCCATCCAGGGGTAAGGAGGGTAGCTATAATACTCATGGTTACTTTATGCTGTGGAAAACCAGATAAGTTTTGTGCTGCAGGTTAGTTAGCTGGAGAGGACTTGACCTGTTTTTTTTTTTTCCTATTTTTCTTTTTCAATGAGAAGGAGAGGGGATACCCCTGTCATGATCTGTTAACTCACTCCTTTCTTTGCAACTTGATATACAAACTGTTATTTAAAAGTACCCTAAAACTATATTAAAAAAACATACTTTCTCTGCAGTGTGTAACAGTAAATGACACAGGGCCTGAAAAAGAAAAAAAAGAGGATTTTACTGTTAATTATTTACAGCTTGTGACAAAAAGGCCTGAAAAGCCAGCTTGTAAACATATTACCTATCACAAGCTTACTATTCCACCTGCCTTTTTCTTTTGATTACATCATTAGTGAATAGCACAATTCATTACATTATCTCACCTGAAACAGATTTCAAAAGCTTCACAACACGCTTGTGATCAAGTCCTTCCACACTCTAAACAAAAGACAAAGCATTAAGAGGAATTCAGTGTGATCACTATACCCCAAAACTCAAAGAGAAATACACATTAGTTCCATTGTTTCTAAGTAGAGCAAGAAACATATAGCTACCATTCTGTTCAGTTGACTAACAAAAACAAACCCCAGATTTCAATTTAACCCCATTTATCAATTTGCTAGAAAGTTTCTGCCCGATGCAGTCTTCTTTCCATTTTATTATGCCAACTAAAAAATAATGATAATCAATAACAAGAGTAGTTATTATTTTACTTACTCTGTCATTTATGGCAAGAATTTTATCTCCAACCTTAAGTCCTCCATGTCTACAAAAAAAGACATGAAAAAAATTAAAAAACCTTCTCCCTGAAGAAAAAAAAAAAAAGGCAACAACAACAATTCTTTGACATGACATGACCTGTTGACTTATGGCTTTTTATCCTTGATTTATTTTTCAGTTCATTTTAAGCAATACACTTGTTAATTAAAAGAGATTCTGGTAGATTAGATGGGGCTACTCCAACTTGTAAATCAAGACAACACTCCTTTCTACTAGAAAATGTGTCCAAAACTGTGAGAGCTACCTCAATTAACCTTTTAATTCCTCACAGTGAGTAGCATCTTATTTCTCCTTTTAATCATTAGACATTATCATGGGTGAATCAAACACAAGAGTAAAGGAAATTATCAATAGCTGAAGAAGCTCTGGATTGTTCAACAAATTCTCCTTGTCAGTACTATAGGATATGTGCAGAGACCAGCAAGGAGAATCTGCCTGATGATATTAGGGTGAAAAGGGTAAATACTCATTTTGTTATTGTTATAATTACCATGTCTAAACAAAGAGGTATACTCACTTGTCCGCAATACTGTCTTTCACTATGTGAGATATAAACACTGGTGACATGTAATAACACTCAAGAAACTTGTCTGTCTGTTTTTTCTTCATCTCTCCTCCCCTTATGTGGAATCCAAAACTGTCATTTTCCTGATAAGACAAAAACAAGAAGTGTCATTTAAAACCCTTTCCATTAATGTGCTCATTTGCCTGTGATTGGCATTTATAATTACCACTCCCTTTGTCCAAAACCCACAGATTTTCTTCTCATGCTGTGTAATACATGATTGTTAACCCTTCAACTCTCATGAATGACCAAGACAGAATTTCTCCTTACAATATCAATACAACATCAACTGGATTAGTGATGAGAAAAAAGAAAAATACCAATTTGGGATTAGATGATCCAAAGCTAAATTCTCTGAACTAACACTATGAGAATTGTACAGTTGATAGTAAGGAGAATGACAAATTTGATCTGGGAGTTAAAGGGTTAAGACCAGTTTCCTTTCAATAAGTATCAGAAACAGAGTTGTACTTTCGGTTTCCTTTATTACCTCACAATTGTAAAGAATCTGACCCTTTCTCTGCCAAGATCTTTAAATCACTTCTTCATTCTGTCTTCCATACCATTCTTATAGTATTAACTCTGAGAATTTATAATTGAATCAAACAATATCCCTAAACTAATGCTGTACTATCTTCTTACAACTTGAAAATTCTTTTCTGTCACCCCTAGAGATGTAAGCATTACCATGGTCTGCTGAAGTTTCAGACAGAATAATAATGAATCTAATCAACAAGGATGCAAAAACTCTCTGGAACACCACTGGAAGTTTGTTTTCAATCATATAATTTATCAAAAAAAAAATTTAAAACCAGTTTCAAGAAAAAAAGTATTAAATGGTTTTAGCAATGCTATCAAAAACCACTAACAATAATCTGACTTAGGTTACAAACATTACAACCCAAATTTTTAAAGCGTACTTTTTCCAACTCAACTACTCTCTGTTCAGCAACAGTCAAACCAAGATCAATATTTTCTTCTTTTACAAAATCATCCCCATCAAGAGCTAACTGAAACTTGTTGAATTCATCAGGATGGTGATCTAGTAAAGCCCTCTGGCATGCCTGGAGTGAAAAATAAATGGAGGATTAAATATAGAATTGCTTAGATATAGAATTTCTCTTTTCATGAACAACTCAATATCTCACTCAATCGCTTTGCTCACTTGTGGGATATTGAGTTGAACATGAATATCGAATACACCTAAAAAATTATTGTAATTTTACGCATGTGCAGTCACCTCTCTCTCATATGATCTGATTGGTTAATTAATAGATTAGATTATATTCTAACTTGCCATATTAGATGTAAAATGCTCATTATCTTACGCAATGTAATCTGTACGAGAATGACTTAGTTGTTTGATACAAACTCAGTTTACCTTTTTCTCTGCTGATACAAGTGAGTGGCAGATACCTAGAGACACAAATGTTATTCAAAATCATTAACACAGCATGTCTGAATCCTGTTTGGTCACGTGATATTTTAGAGAATGATAGCATTTACATCTATTTTACCATGTCCATAGTTATTTAGCACCTTTAATCCTTGAACTCCCAAGATCTGATTGCTAATTCTCCCCTCTCACTGCTACAAATTTTCTTGTAAATTAGTTTCAAGAATTTGGTGTTACATCAAGATAACAGCTTATACCAAACAAGTTTGATTATTCTCATAACCTATTTGTTGGCTAATGTGTGGATATTACAGGGAGAAGTTACATGTTAATCACTACTGGGAGTTAAAGGATTCACACCTGGCAAACAGAAAGGCACTGATTTACTGATCACAACTTGGTTAAGCAGAGAAGGAAAAGACACCAATGGGCAAGATACATGTAGGGAGGAATCAGTGAGTGATAGGATTACATTGCAGCTCTAAAAGCCTCACAGCGTCATAATGAGCAAGTAATCACAACCCAAGAACAAAACCTGGAAGTTGCACTTTTTTGTGGAGAAGTAAACAGGGAGATTTTAACCAGAATGACTTATTAATTCGTTAAAAGTACATCTTTCATCAACACTTCAACCAAACCTAAAATTTACAAACAAAAGAGAAGCTAAAGAGACATTAAATGACGGTCACTTTCACTGACTGAAAACTGAAAGACTGTCCTGACAAGAAGTCTTACCTTTCCCTAACATTTCCCTATTTTCACCCCTTGTCACAATGACACCATAGATGAATGGGTTGTTCACATTATACTTGGACTTGCTTTTCTCTTGGAAATCAAGTCTGGGGATAAAAAATCATTTTCTTTAAATTAAACTTACAAATGATTCACTATTACCAACATCTTAATATCAATAGTGGGGTTTCTCTGATTCAAATGGGAAGACTGGATCATAAATAAGCAAAAGTTAGAACAGATAGCTTTTATCTCCTGGTTTTATTTTCTTCGTAACTTATTCAATGTATTTTAGCAATAGACCCCATTAGCTTGTATGTTTTGTTCAACCAGTCTCAAAGGAATTTCTAGGTTCTTCTTTCATAAAATTTGCCCACGTTTGCTTACAAATAAGTGGAAATTTGAAAGAATGGTAACTCTCAGCAGTTTTATTGCATGACTTGAAATAGAAATTATGAGTACAATTATACCAGTTGTAAGTTAATCATAATGTGGTAAGATAACTTCAATGTTTGATTCAAGGGTGATATTGTATGGAGAAATTACTTACTTTACTTTTAAAGGAAAGTGTCCCTTTTCAACAGATATTTGCTGAAGAATGAACTTGGGGTGTTGGAGTTTCACCATCTCTTCAACCTTCTCTTTAGTTAGCTCAGGTATAAGATGAGTCTTCACGAATGCATCTGCATTCTTAGGACTCTAATAAAGAAGAAAATCTTCAAAATAAGAGAATTTCCTACATCACCGTATCTCACTTCAGAAAATAAATATGTCTTTATCATTAACTTATCACTTATATCCATTTAGAGATAAGATATTCGAAAAATTTTGTGTGCTTAAAACACCTGAAAGGTTTATTACCCAATAAACCAACAGAAACTGTGGCCAACTGTTTAGAAAACTTAACATGTTACACAAAATCCATCACTGACCTGATGAGTATAAACTACTCCCACCAGAGCAAGCACAGTTTGTCTCTGCATCAGTTCTTTAGATTGTCGCTAAACATCAAAAAGTAAAGGTGTCATTGTGCATCCACAAGATTTATTAACCCATGTACTCCCAAGATCTCATTAGTAATTCTCATTTTGTCTGCTATACAATTCTTATGATATTAGTTTGAAGAACTTGGTTTTTGATATATTTTTCTCTGTTCTCGTCACTTGTCTACTCAATATTTCACTTAGGGTTTAGGGTTAGGGTTAGAAGAAATTCTGTCTTGGTCACTTATGGGAATTAAAAGGGTTAAGACAAGCACTATACAACAGAAATAATATAAAAGAACAAAGACGGGTGTTGAATGATTAAAAAAAGAAATGCCTTTGCTAGGAGCTATATATGCATTTTAAGTAACACAAGTTCTACATATTTTTCCCCAAGAGACACAGTCTGATTGGGTTATCAAACCTCCAACAACTAAGAGCTTAGGGATAGAAAACTAGAAAGTAAAATAAGAGTGAATGTCTGCGGCACAAGATATCTTAAGTGGTTCACAACTATCTTGTTATGGAAGTAGACAAATCAGTCAGTAGAGATTAGTATTGAACTGAGTCAGATTTTACACTCACATAGTAGAGAGTTTTTTGCATAATGTCCCATTCTATTGCCTTCTGCATTATAAAATCTTCTAAAAAACTGTTCTGTAGATCCCTGAGACCAAATCAAAACACAATTAAGAGGGTATAATGGTCAATCTGTATCAAGGATCAAATTGACTAAGATGATATTCAAATTAAGCAATATAAAGGAAACATAATTGTTGTGAAGGACTCCAAACTCTTAATCATATTACATGATGGTGATTTAAATGTTAAATAAATGTGCTAATTTGACAGATTGTGCTGATTTAAGAGCACAAGCAAATGATATATCTTACCCTTACCAAATCTCTGCAGCTGAAAGTTGAGGAAAGTTTTCAAACAGGTACTCAGTGAAGCTCTTTCTTGCAGTTTGTGCTCCTATAAATTGGATAGTGAGCTTGTTATTATAGATCCATGGTCTTTATCGCATTAACCCTTTACACCCTAACATCAGCATAAATGTTCTCCATACTGTTCTCTATATGTTACCTAATGTGCTGACAAGGAGAATATAATTAACATTCATGAGCTTTTTGAGTTGGGGATTGTTACCTTTATTCTCCTGCTCTTTATGTGTAATTCAGGGGTGATCTTGTTGGGAGAAATTAGATGCTAATCACTCTTAGGGATCAAAGAGTTAAAGCAATTTACTGCATCTTTGTATTTATAGACGAAACAACAGAAGTGTTTCATCAGTGTTGAGTCTTACCAATAAAAGCAAGCTTTTCATTAAATCCAAATGACCCTGATAGTTTGTCGGCATTTTGTAGAAGGAATGACTCATGAGTGAATGCTGCTAAAAGATTTCTTTCTTCTGAAATATCCACATTGAGCTGAGTGGCAAATTTGACAATATTTTGCCTGAAAGCTAAAGAAAAATGGGATCAACAATAGTCAACTGATAACAACCAAGGGTTAATCTTGGTTTAGGGGAGGGGAGTTGCTTAGATACTGACATTGATCCACAAAGTCACACAGTTAAAACATTGACATTTACTGTGATTCAAATGTTTTAATCCAGTATGATTTTTTTATTTCTTTGCACTGTGTCCATCAACAGAATTTAATACAAAGGAGGTAAAATTTTAATTGTAATAACCATATCATGGCAGAATTGCAGGGTTACTGATATTATTTCATTGTGCTATTTTGAACAATTGGCCTCAAATTACATTGAATCTCACCATTTAATGAAAATGTCTTAATACTCCCAAAAAATCACATAATTCAAGTAGGGATTGGAGTGAACTCTTATAAGAAAAATTTACAAAACTCAATGTTATTTCAAAGTGATTTACATCAAAAAGCCTTGTAGTGCTTAAAAGGGATACACTATCATGATCTTAAGACTTGGTTGATAATATCACAAAATAAACCCATCTTGATAATTTACCTAAACATGAAAATTTTTTTCCTGTAACAAAAACAACAAACTATACTCCTTTATTCAAGACTGAAGGATATGATTTAATTTGTCAAATATGGTCCAGACAAAATTTGTGTTAATACCTTTGTTTGTCAGAGGGACTTTGTTTTGTTGGACCTTTGCCTCCTTCATAAAGAAAAAAAGAAAAAATAATAATTTAAAGTTAAGAAGAGCAGTTAAGGACCACTTGATTGTGATTTCTGACGATTCCTTAAATTTTTAGTCTTCCATACCATAACACCTTGCACACAGACAAAAACTAGGTACAAATCAGTTATAAGAGTATGGTAGAAAGTTTAAATGATATGAACCTAGTATGAGATGCAACCAATACTAGGAAATTTCATAACATTTAAGTCATGACAAATAGTTTAGTCCAGCATATTAACAAAGAGGTCCACACTTAAGAAACTCATCCTGATTTCTATAACACAAAGTGTATTTCCATAACACAAAGTATATTTCCATTTCTCCAGGATGTGAGGCCACTGAGTCCATCACTAGTTACATCCCAATATTTCATCAGCCTTCCCTGGAAATTTTTCATTACTCATTTACACTGAACGCCATCTAAACTGCCATATGGGTGCTCAAAGGTTATAACCCAAAAAAGGAACAACACTAGGAGTCTTAAAAACATGAGGATTAAGAGTTGAGGATAGTGAGTTATCTATCATTTAAATCAACTAATGATCAAAAGTCTATGCACTTAGGCTTTTGTACCATTGAAATTTCACCCTGTTGTGTGTATTTTAAATGTCTTAAACATTGTTTTTAAAGTGGATACCTTATTCTAGATCTGGAATCCCAAAATGTCACCTTCTCCCTACCAACCCCTCCCAACCCCTCCTTCCTCCCCAGTCCCCCTTCCCTTGGGCCAAGTTTGGAACATTAGGTAACATCTTACATGTTTCCATGGTTAAATACCTTGATTACTTTTCATTATCTTATATCCCGTTCGAGCCAAATATCATTGAGATTATCACGTACCGGAGGATACACTTCACTTGATGTAGAATACCGCAATACAGATGACATCTTCGGATCCGATATTTTGCATAAAATGCTTCTCTGTTTTAGACACGAAATACCGCAACAAACACACCGTGAAGATGACACACTTTGTGAAGATAATTTGTACAGATAGTCACTTTTAAATCTCCACGTAAATGAAGTTCTAAACAATGGTAAAACGTTTCTTGTCTGACCAATAACACCGCTCATTGTGATCAGCTGTGATAGTGGACACTGGTGTCAAAAAGTTTCCAGCAGCTTGAGGTAAAAGCTGTTAAACTGACCGCACTTAATTTTGATAGGAAAACAAACACTTCCAACCAAAGGCAAATATTCCGACAGTAATTTCGCAAAGTTACGAGTAGAAATCCATGGTTCCTTCATTGTGGCTTGGCCGCCATGATGATGCCAACCATACTACACGTGAGGAGACTGTTCGTACCCAGTCTCCACTCCATTTCTGAGATCCTCTAGCCTCTACTTCAAGCCGAGGGTACAGGATTTTCGACTTCCGGTTCATTTTCACTTTTTCACAGTAAAAGATTGGAACCTAGCCTCATTTTCAAGCAGATGGTTCCTGGCACACTCGACAGCGGCTTTGTTATGTCACCGACCAAAGAAAGGGATAAATCTCAGCTGACTATGCTGGTGCACGTGAAATCATGGATGATTTAATATGCAGAAGAGAAAATGTCCTCCTTTTCATACCCAACTTAATAGGTAAGACACGTTTGTCTTCCGTATTACATCCAAGTGGATTCTTGGATTCTTACTTGCTTTAGAGCATTACTTCTTGTAGCTAGTAAAACTAATTTAATTAAATATTTGATATAGGCTGATATACCAGCCCAATGAATAATTGAAGCTGAATTAACAGCAAAAAAAGGCTGAATTAGTCACCTGATTGATTGCAAATATGCAGACTGAAATGCATCGGACACACTTAGACACAAATTTCAGTTCACAAGCATAAATGTTTTAATTCCAAAGGGTATGTGCGGGTTATCCTTTTATTTGCATCGTGGATCTTCTTCAACAATCCAGTCCTCTTCCTGTGCTTTTACACAGCTTCAGTCTTGCTGGATGGTGAGTGTGGTAACTAAATTTTTCTGTAATAACAATTTGCATTAAGCCTAAACTTCATGGCTTTTGAATGTGTAGGTGATTGTACTAAGTTATTACAAAACTAGCCATAGTACACACTGTGTAATTCCTGAGCTTTTAGTGGTCTTTAGGTCATAGTATTACCTCACATACCATGAGCCACAAATATTGCCATAAAAATTGTATTTGGTACAATGTTTGTGACAGATTTTGAGATGTGGTTTGGTAATTTTGGTTATTGTTTCTTTAATTCCAGGTCTAGATGGAATTGTTGCTCGGCAATTGAATCAAACATCAGCATTTGGAGCATGGGTACTTACCATACTTTTCTTTGCTTGGAATTTAGGATAATTCTATTTGTAGCTGTTTATTTCTTCCACAGAGTATTTCCTGATGTGATTAACAAGCACCAAAAGTGCGATTCCTTGAATGAGAAGTCTCATTTTGCTTTCAAAGTTACTCCCTTTAGATGGATGGCAGACAGAAAAATCTTGACGAGTTCCCCAAAATTCAACCCTTTGACCCTCTTAGAGTGACCAACATCTAATTTCTCCTTACAATATCACTCCCGAATCAAACATTAAGGTCACAAGAATAAAGGAAATGATCACCAACTAAATAAGTTCTTGATTGTTAAACAAATCCTCTTCATCAGCACTTTGGGAAATGTATAGAAAACAGTATGGAGAATAGAGATACTGATGTTAGGGTGTAAAGAGCTAGCAATGGATGATCACAGCTTAGTGATACTGACCTCCCTGTTAAGAGGGTCTCAGCAACCTATCAACAATCAGTAATCAAGGTTAACCCAACTGTTTAATATGCACCAATGGTGCATAATGGTGCATAACAATGGTGCAACCAGGTGTGGTAGAGTTAGGTTTCTACCACACCTGTTAATATAATGATTTTTAGAATTTCAAGTTCCTTGGTTGAGCCTTAGGTTCAACCTGTGATTAAAGCCTCTCATTTGGAGGTAGGAAAAAAATGACAGCAAGTGTTGTGGTCTAAATATAATTTTATGTGATTTTTTTTAAGTTGGATGTTGCTACAGACAATCTCGGCAGAGGAATGCTTTGGACCTTGCTTTATAAGGTAAAATACTTCTAACCATTTATAGCTAATCACTGGGAGATTTATTTAATTGTCTGCATTCTTTTTAACAGTGGGGATACTTTATCAGTGCAGTGGAGTGGATGGTATTTGTGTGTACACATTCACTTGGAGCACATTGGAAGAGTGCTCAATCCAACCCACCTTCATGGGTTCAACTTGTTATGGCTAAAGGTTTGTTATGACAGTTATTAATTAACTTTGTGCTTTAATCATTAGGTGAAGTCTTTCCATCACTCAACTGTTACAATCAATTATTATTAATAGCATTAGCCCGTAATGACAATCCATGGTAAAACTTTAAAAATGTGCCTTTTGTTTAAATATCTTTTATGACTCCCAGCTTCTATGGTTACAGTAGTAATGAAACTAATGAAACAATAAATTACATTTAAAATTGCTATCAGAATGTTTGTTTTGAGGTATAGATTAGGTTTAGCAAAGAAATCTAGTTACAACAAAAAAACTGAAATAAATAAAGGTTAAGGTTTCTTTCTCAGGATTTAAAACACCTGCAGGAGCATTTGCAATCTGTGGCCTTCATGGGCTCCCTGTGTGGTTGTATGGTACGAATAAACACATGTGGTCACCATTCATGTCACATCACTTACAGTTGGGAGTCACTGGAATTTTAGTGTCTGGTAGAGCCTTGTGCATGGGAGTTGAGGTAAGAGTAGTTGCAACTGATAACAATTACCTCACACAGGAGCTTCGTAGACAAACTCAGAAACTGATCGACTGGCCAACTGGTTGACTGACTGACTGATCAACCTAATGGCTGAGCAATCAATGTTTGACCAACAGAATACTGACTCAGTGACTGAATGACTGAACAACCCATCAACTGACCAATCAACTGAATAACTGACTTACTGATCAGCTGACCGGCTGGCTGACCAATTGACTGACTGACTGACTGCCCAGCTGACCAGCTTACTGACTGACTAAATGGCTGACTCACTCCCTTACTCCCTCACTCACTGACTTGCTGACTGACCTACCAACCAACCGACTGACTGACTAACTGACTTACTGATCAACTAAAATGAAAATTAACTGAAATAGGGAGATTCCCAATATAATTTTCAATTGTGTCAATGTCGTATCTTAACCTTAAATTACTACTCAATCAATTTCAGTGTAGAAATAGCTGAGGGACAAAAAGCTGGTTCAATGTTGTGACTCAGTAATGATTTATTAATGTGCTAGAATGGTTATGTCAATGAGTAAATGGTACTTTGATAATGTTTTAACAGGTTTGGTTTATTACAAGTCACATTAAAGATTTACTGGCAGATCATGAACAAAAAAGGCCCTTATCAAATACAGAACCCATGATGGAAGACACTGATTAAAGATGCATGCTATCTTGAAATCTGTCATGCCAGCTGGTGGCATTTAAAGATAGCTTTTTCATCCTGAAATTCTTAAAAAATTCAGCGCTAATAAAAACTGAGCATTTTGTACCTTTCTTATCACTGAATTATTCTAGGAATTGTAAGTATTTTTTCTGATCATAAAAGTTTCCACCTAGGGACATTTTAACATATATCAAATACTGAAGATGTAGCTAAATGAAGCCCAAATAACTATGACTGAAAAAGAGGTGCAAACTTTGAATATGAAACCCAGAGCCTCACATAACAATGATAAAAGTTCCTAGTTATCAATTGAAATTATTTTATATATATCAATAGACTATTATTTGCCACATGACTTCTTTCATATATGGCTGAGATCTTTTAAAATTATTTTATTGATTAATTTGCATGTCACTTCATCTTCTTTCCCTCATTATCATGTGGAAATAAATTACATTAAACGTGTTCACAAGTCTAGGAAGGCTAATAAAAAAACAAGTCAAAGAGTAACAACAAGCCTCTTCGGCTGTCAATGTGAGATGTCTCTACAGTGAAAAGAAAAACATCCCAGAAATCAAACTATACTATTAAATAAGACAGAAAAAATGTGCTCTATGGTAGACTCACAAGTCTGTAGTTGTTTTATTACCTGTATCCTGCAAGTAGGCCCTCATGGTATATCTTTGCCCACAAAGTAAGCTATTCAAGGCCTTGAGAAAAGCCAGATTAGGAGAGATCTACAAGGGATCTGGCACTAATAGTGGAATTCAGAAAATTTGTAAGGGGGTTGAGCTTTTCGCTTCATCTCGACGAGAATTAACGTTTTACTCTACTGCTGCCACTTGAGTATTAAAACAGTAATAAAATGTGATCATATTCAAGTATAGTGTACTCTGCTGATCTTACCTTGACAGGACATTTGAAGGTTAGATACACAACGTGATACATCGATTGAAAATGGCGGAAGTATGGCTGGGTTTATGAATATTGTACTAAAAATTTTTGTCGATCATTTGGACAAGGTTGGGCTAATTTATAAGAGAGATATTGGATCTTTCTTAAGCTACAAGGTTGGTAAAGGTCACAAAACAACACTGCCTCCATCAAAGTCTCATGTTACGATAAATCCGCAATTTCTCGAGGGCAAGAGAGTTCTGTTCGTCGGGGATGTCCATGGCTGTTTTGACGAACTGCAAGAGCTGTACAATGAATGTACAGATCCCAGCAAGGAAACTCTGTTAATTTTCGTGGGTGATCTCGTGTTTAAAGGACCCAAGACTCTAGAAGTTATACGTTTTGTTAGAGAGACAGGCTCGTTTTCCGTCAGAGGGAATCATGAACAATCTATTTTAACCGAAATCCTTCACAAAAGAAGAAACGAACCTGTGCGAGAGAAACGCAAGTTTGTGTACGATTTGACTCAAGAGGACGAAGATTTCTTGCAAAATCTACCTTTCACGATAAGTGTACCTTCATTCAATGTCCTAGTGGTTCATGGCGGACTGCTGCCTGGAATACCTGTACAACAACAAGATCCTTTGGGTATGATGTTCATCAGAAACTACATTCCAGAGAAGTTCCAAGGAACAGCAGGAATTGAGGAAGGCTTGCCATGGGCGTCAACGTGGAGTGGTCCTCAGCATGTAGTATTTGGACACGATGCTCGCCGAGGTGTGCAGCAATACAAGTATGCGACTGGGATTGACTCTGGATGTGTGTATGGGAATTATCTGACTGGCATCTTAATAGAAGACGGTATCTGGGCTAATAGGAAATTGGTACAAGTCAAAGCAAAGAAAAAATACACTCTAAAAGAGAGTTGACTTTTGTCGAGCTATACTATTGAGATGTAGAATATGACTTTCTTTTTTCAAGCAGACCAGTGGACCTAAGTACTCAAAAGAGAGACATGATAAGGTTTTACAACAACAATTAAAATTTTACCCAATCACTAATTAAGATTCACATGTTAATGCAAGAGTTTGAAAAGTCTTCTAACCTGTGGTTGGTAGAGAAAGCATAATTTTGATGAGTGAGCACTCAGTATTTTCCTGGTACAAATCATAACTGCCATCCTTGATTTTTTAACAGCAGGGGAAGGCTAGGAATGGAAAGAATCCTATACCAAAGGAGTGAGAGACAGTCAAAAGGAGGGGGAGGGGGTGAGGCAATAGAAATCTTCTCACCTTCCCTTCCCCTTCCCTTGATGTGCAATATCCTAACAAATCTCCATATTTAGCTCTAACCAAGTTCAATCATTATTTGATCATTTAAAAAAATCAAAGGGCTTTTGGAACCAGCTCATCCATGTTATGGCTTAAGTTTGTATTGATTTCTTGGACTTGTTGAATATATGTACAGTTGAATTTGGTTTATTTGAACTTTCAGACTTCTGGAATAAATTTTCTTTTATGTTTTGGGCAGTTGTGTGATAAGAAAACTTGTGCATTTGTTGTGATGGGAACTGAAAAAAGGTTGTGTGGGCTGGAGGTGGGATGGGCAGAGGTCATTAGGCAGACAGTGTCCTTTTTGTTGGGGTGTGTGTGTGTGTGTGTGTGTTTGCAGGGCTGAAGGTGGGCTGCGTGGGCATAATCAGGCATCAAATGTTGCTCTTTTGTTTTTAACAAAGCGGCCATTGCATTTGGTTTTCAACAGAGAGGCCACAATCGTTCTTAATAGAATTTCAAGCCTTCACATAGTCTGATTTTCACATATTAATATTTGCGTGGTCGCCAAACAGATGAGAGATAAAACAACCAGAAAATTAAACAAATGGCCAGTCACGAGAGCAACGCTTCGCTTTTCCCCAAAAGAATTCGCCGGTTCCTCACGTAAGCCATTAACAATATAAGGCACATGTGAAAATCAGTTTGTGTACACCCCTGAACGTTGAAAATATATCAGGAGGAGAAAAAGGAGAGAAATCCAACCCAGCCAACTATAGACCTATACCTCTTACTTGTGTTGCATCGAAGATCCTCAAGCATATCACGGTCCACAGCTTTATTATGAAACATCTAAACGACCATAACATCTTCACAGACTGTCAGCATGGTTTTAGGGCAAAGAGATCCACAGAGATGCAGCTAATTCTCACCTAAATTACACGACATGGCAAAGGCTATTCAGAGCTCATCTATCCACACGGATTTTGGATTCCATAGTGCTGCAGCGGCTTCCTTAAGAGTCGCCTATGAGGGACCTTGTCGAAAGCTTTGGTAACGTCTAAATGCAGTTAGATGAGCCATTCAAGGAAAAGCTCAATAACCCACGTGCATACAAAAGTCTTAAAATAGTGCACTTTTCGGAATTCTCAGAGAGCTCGTCTAAAACTCCTTTCCTTTCATGCACCGTGATCTGTGTGATCTTGGATCACAAATCCAAATCCGGATCCTCCCAAAGGAACGCACCCACAGTTTTCTTTATTTAACTTTTATATCATTATTTTATATGTTGTTATATCTGTATATTATTCATTTACTTATTTTATTTACTTATTTATCTGTTTGTTTCATTTTTACGGTTGGTGTGATATCTTAACGATTTTACCGACCCAATACATGTAAATGTAAATATTCGTGAAAGATGATCGCGGAAAAACGATTGGGTGACGTTTGGTAAGTTGTAAGAGGACATATTATCACGTATCTGACGAAAACACAGGACAAATTCTCAGTCTGCATTTTGTACCCGGTCTGCAGTCTCCATTTTGTACTAACCAGATTGGTATTGCTGTTTTTGTTCGAGCGAGCCTCAAGTCCGGACCGAAATATCTGAGCTCGAAACTAATTTTGACTTTCACTAAGTGGGGAGGGGTAGCATGCGAGACTACTTCCGTTCACGGTCCACAATGCAATTTCCGTCTACGAAATACAACTTCCGTCCACGGTCGACAACTTCCGTCAGCATCACCACAATACCTCATTCATTGCTTTCAGCATGAATGATTTAAAAATAGGTTTTTGTTGTTATTTTGGAATTACCCTCTTACAGCATAGCAGATTTGCATAAGATGATGCATCGGATGACAATTGTGACTGTTCTAGGTCCTGTGTTTCTAACCCATTTTTCTCACATTTGTTAACTTAGATTGAATTTTGGAAGACAAGTTTTGCTCCACAGACATACATACTGACACATGGATAATCCAGCACACTAAAATGGTTAACAACATTTATTCACAAAAATTAAACAAGTCACAATTCTAATCATTATTAAAGCTGCTTTGAACTTTGAAGGTCACATCTTTAATACCCAAAACCAAATCTAGTGAGCTAAATATTACTTCAGTAGGGTTCACACACGTTTTAATATGAAAAATTTAAGACTCTCTCTCTCATTCAAAGCTATGAATCAAATCATGGAGCAAGAGAGCAACTGTCCACATTCTGCCGCAAATTTTATACAGTTTCCTCCACATTTTCCTCTTCTTTTCCAACCTTAAAAATGAATACCAAATAAATAAGTGTGCAAATTTCCAATTTTTGCAATTTTAGCACTTTGTACATAGCCTGCTTGAAATTTTTACATTTATATTTAATACTCTTTACTCACAGTTTACTTTCCAGGCTGATATTACAATGAAACATTGAGCAAAACTGCTAAGGAAATTTTGTTTCACTTTCCTGTGCCAATTTCTTGTCTTAGGTTTTAAAATGTATCTCAATATTTTTTATACAAATAAGAAAAAAAGACCAAGCATAAAAATTACTCAACAGAACAATTGACCCTCACATCAAGACTTTCATTACTCTAATCAACTTATCAGCACTATTTGGTCAGTCACTTGACATATCCAACATTAAACCTAGCTTAATTTATTTATGAAATCAGTGATCTTTAAAAATTGATGTTTTATCAACTTAAATTAATATTTATTGGTAAATCAATATTGATGGTCAAAGAGTATTCAATCACAAAAAATCTACATGATTTTTATCAACCTGTGACTAATGTAATTAATGATTACCAAATACAAACCTTTTTTTTTTCAGTTAATATAATATTCATTATCTTCAAAATAATCAATAGTTATGCAAAGAAATCTTGCAATCAAGAATCTTGGCCTGCTTCTCACAGCCAATCACACTGAACCAAGAGAAAATTAGTAAATTAGTATTATTAATATTAATGTTACATTTTAATGAACATAATTTACAATATTTTCACACAAAAATATATACATCATAAAACTAAAGAAAGTTTCAAATAAGGCAAGGAAGAACTAAAATAACTGAATATTTTACATTTAAACCCCATTGCCTATTGCCTTGCTTCTCTTCACAATTTATCACCAGAACTGTGGATCCTGAAAACCATGTAATTATCATAATTTGCATTTAAAGAATTAAACCCTGCCCAAATCCTTAACAATATAGACAATATTTGTTGTGGCTTACAGGTTTAGAATCCAAACACTAAATTTAAAAATTTGTTTTGACAGCAATCTAACTGATCCCACTTTAAAATATATTTAACACCCACACTTTACAGAATTTGAGATAACTTAAGCATATAAAAATAGGCCAAACAACTAATAACTATAACAAATACATCTAATGTTCTGAAGAGAATATTTTACACCTTATCTAAAGGTTACTCCAGGAAAATAGGAAATATTATTCAATAATTATCAAAGGGCTGCACCAAAGACAGCATTTACTGGATGGTATGGATGGAATATAATAAGATTTTATACTGTACCCATAGCAAAATGGACAGATGTATCAGTTTCCTAAACTAAGACTAACAGAACTGGATTTCAAGACCTGGACAAACTATATGACTGCAATGTCAACTTTTTTAAGTCACCAATTGGCAACCTATCATCATAAAATTGTTGCCAGGAAGCACATTCCATTGAGGGTATTCCTCTCTTCTCGTAACTTTTCAGCTTCAATATGTATGTATTTTGTGAAGAGAAATTCCTTTTTGGTCACTTCTAGGAATGGACAGGTGAGAGCACTCTATGTTCTCATATTTACCACTACTCTCTAAAATTATGGCATCTATGAATATTCTACATGAAAACACACATCACAACACTTAACTCTGTTCAATGCCATGAAAGCAGATTTGATTATAGGATCTCTTACTTGACAGAACTTAGCATATGATGCAACAAGTACATCCTGACATGCGTACTTGGTGGCAATATCTGTTTCTATTTACTTTATGACACAACTCAGCTTACTAGGATCAACCTGCCTCACAACACCTTTCCAACAGATAGTAACTAAGGTGTACTTTAGTTTTGCTGTACACTTTAGAGGGATGTCTTTAAAAAGGGTGTAGTGATGTGTTTAGTTCCTTCCTCTGGTTTAGTTTCTTGGCTTTTCAAAGGTTTATTTCGGTGTGAAGAAATATTTCTGCGGATATGACTAAAGCTCAATTCTGCAAAGTAATCCTTTGGACCAATCAAAGAGCAAATAGACAAGAAGCCAAAAGTTGAAAAAAGCCAACTGAAGACCATAACCAACATTAGGAACTGTCCAAGCTGAAAGTATGCTAAGACTGTGGCTGGCATCATCATCACACCTAAATTACACAAAAGTGCAACTGTTAGATTTGATATTCACTGATCAGCATATTTAGAATATTAATTTGTTGATTGAGTTAACTCAAGCCAGAATGGAAATGATTTTTCTCAAGACCTCAAACCAAATATCTTCTAGTCCAGCCTCACCCAGCTCAGTTGGTTCCTATTTTGTGTGATGCTGAGCTTCCTGTCTCTTCCTTTCTTTTCCCTTTTTTTTTTCATTCTTATTTTTATATGGTTTGAAAAAAAGATAGAGGAAACTTTACAGTTCATATGATAATAGTAATAAAAAAAAAACTTCCTCAAGATTTAATCTTTAAGATAATCATCGTAACTAGGAATTGCCTACCTGTGAAAAATGTTGTAAGAGCTGCCATTGTTATGGCAGATCCAATGTGCTTCAAAGAGTAACGCACCCTGCTATCTCTCTGACTTTTGTCTGGTGCAAGTGTGTAAGCCACACCATAATGCATTGTGAAGTCAATGGACAGACCCACTGCAACTGACACCACAATGGACTCTAAAATATTCAATTGCCAGCCAGCCAGCACAAGACACCCAATGGTTATGGAAATAATTCCAATGATGGTGATAATTGCATAGATGCTGATGAAGATGTTGAGGGTTGTGAACAGCATGACTCCAAATGATACAGCCACAGAGATTCCCAAAGAAGAGTATGTTCCTTCTGACAGTCCCATCTGCAGAGCATAGAAGTCCAGGTTCCAGCATCCTACCCAACCATTCTCCAATCCTGTTGGAGCCTTAGCCATTTCTTTGTCAAACCAATCTGTCACTTTCTTCCAGAAGTCATCCATAACAGTAAAGCTGGTGGTAAATGGTTGACCTGTGATTATTTGCAAATGAAAACCAATCACTTTCCCTTGCTGGTCAAACAAAAGCCCAACTCCAGCAGAACTAGGCATGGATAAAGCTGTTCTCAAACAGCCCTCTGCAGTATCAGCTGGAAATGGAAAACTAGCGTTAACCCCACAACATGCTGTTCCTGGTGAGGTACAAGTTTTAATGAATGCTTCTATAGGGCATGTATCACTTGAAGGAAAAGTCACAAAAAATGGTTGCTTTTCAATGGACTGACACAAGGAACGGAGGAACTTTTGACCAGCTGAACTGAACAGACTTGATTTATCAAAGTTTTCATCCAGTTGTAGGGTGCCATAGTCATCTGGGTTAAGGTGATTTCCATTATCTTCAAGTTTTATTCCCCAGAACAGTTCCAGCCACATCCCACCACTTTGCTGTGAACTGGTAAATCTAAAGTAGCTTTTATAGTTTAAGTAATAATTTTCAAGTGGATGGGATGAACTAAACACCTGGAAGTCACTTGTGTTTGGCAGCTGCAGACCTGGTTTAACAAAATTAACACATAGAAATCCAACTGTAAGACACACTAACAGGGTAATCCATACATAACGTAACTTGATCACTGCTTTTGGTAACCAATCTTCAAACACCTTTGAACCTACTGTTTTGGAAAAACTTGTGGATGATATTAACAAAGAACATGGAAAGTCAATGACTTGCAGAAAACAAATGCTTCCCTCATTTTGATTGACAGGACTGTTAACAACAGACTTCATGATGTTTCTCTCTGACATGTTCTGTGCTATTGCTGCCCCAGTCTTAGGAGACTGAACTTCATCAAGATCATATGATTCATCGGGGACCACTTCCAAGCTTGAATGTCCATCTTTGTGCTTCAACACCCACTTCTCATGCAAAGCCACAACAGCTGGGAAATATGTTATCATTAGCAAGTAATTTGTCAAGATGGATGTACCAGCAAACAGTCCAAACAACCTAACAGCAGTGATGGAGGAAGATACTCCTGCGAAAAATGCTGATGCTGTCGTCAAGCTTGTGACAAGCATGGAGAGGGCAGCATCACACAAGGTCTTCAATGTCAGCTGCATGATGTTTGCACAAGGGTTAGCAGCAAGTGCCTGTCTCCATATGTCATAATACACAAAAGCATCATCTGCTCCAATGCCCACCAAAAACACCAGTGTGGTAACATTCAGAAATGGAAAGAAGTCTATTTTGAAGACCATTGTGTAAAGAAAATATGAAAGACCAATTGCATAAATAATGCAAAAAAGGCCGGTGAAAGTGAGAATGAAAGAACTCAAGAAAAACCACATAATAAGAAAAACAATAATCATGGCAAGAGCAGGGTATATGACTTCAGTGAGAAGCTTAATTTGAAAAAGATCAAACTTATAGTTCCTAAACCAAAAAGAGGCAAGTTTCACCCCATCTCTTTCAGGAACACCATCGTTTAGCTCCAAATACAACTCATCATATAAGTCATAACCAGATGCTTGTGGGAAAGATGTCGTATATTTCAGAAACATATCATTGGATGGACTCATCTCATTGTCTGTTAGAAACTGGAAAATATTATACACAGCATTGTGTTTGGTGCAATTAGCTGGGACGCCCTCACAGCTGGAAGTGGCACAAGATCCCTTCAAACTTTGTTTCACAAAGTACGGGTGGCACTGAAGCAACAAATTCTTGACGTATAAAACATCTTGATCAGTTATGTCTCGACATGTTGTGCGGTTATTAAGCAAGGCAATATAATTTCCCAAAGAATAGCTTGAGTAACACTTTGTTGTTTTTCCATCATAAATGCTGAGACAGTATTGTGCATATAAAGAGCTGGCACTCAAAATGGAATTCTCTATTTCACAAACATCTTTGAGCTTGCTGGATACTAACAAGTTTTCATCGCCACCTGATGCCTCAAAAATGAACATCATTCTTGCATGATCATACCTATTAAGTTCATCAGATGGCAAAGGAGGTTCAAGAGAACTTTGAGTTGATTGACGCTTTCTCTTTACAGATGATGAGACATTGTTCTGCTGGCCTCCTGTTTGTAATTGAGGAGGTTCATAAAATTCATAAAAATTTTTTATTGTCACCATCTTGTTACTCAGTTTTGTACCTCTTGGTTCAAAACCCTTGAACAAAAACAAGTAAAAGAGAGAAACAATCAATCATACATGCAAAGTAAAAACAAAAGGGCTACAGTCACAAAGTGACACATAATGACTGACCAAACTTATCCTATAACCTATAAGAGTGACTGGCTTCTTATCAGTCTCCTTATAGTGTCACTCTTGAATCCAACATAAAGGCCATGAGAAAAGGAACTGATCACCAATTCAAGCAGCTCCTAATTGTCAAACAAATGTGCCTTGTAAGCACCATAGGCGATGTAAAGAGATATGGATATTAAAATTTGGGTGTATAGGGTTAATAAAAACTTATGTGAGACAAAATTAATACATTTTTTAAGATTTTAACTGCCAGATAATTTGTTCCTACCTTTGTTGGGTTGCTAAAGTCAGGCAATGGACCGCCTCCCATTGATGGAAAAACTGACACCAAAATAAGGATAATAACAGTGAATGGAATAAACAGCGCCAGGCACAGAGCTATGGCATCGTGCTTTGTAAACTTGGGTCTGAAAAACAAAACTAAGTCACTAAAGTATTTTGAAGCATTAACCCTTTCAATCCCATAAGTGACCAAGACAGAATTTCTCCTAACAGTATCAATACAAAATCAAGCAGAAAACATCAATTAGGTGATTATTAGATGATCCAATTGCAAATTCTCAGAACATCTTAATATTGGATGCCACAGTCAGTAAAGAGAATCACTGACAAGATCTTGAGATTGAAAAGGTTAAACAGGAAGTGTTGTGAAGATTGCCAATTGGAATATATAACTAGACACAACAATTTTGTCCCTTCTCCCACTTATCAGAAAGAAAGTATGAAACAGAAATATTAAAAAAATATTAATTTATAGTAATGAGATTCCTTTTCCACAACAAAGAATCTACAAAAATTTGCCTTGCTCACTATATGAGGGTCCCCAATAGGTTTTTCAGGATCTGGGATCAGGCTTATTTGAAGGCAGGGATCCAGGAACTTAGAGAAAGAAGGGAGCAAGATGTGGTGTTGTTAATAATAATAATAATAATAATAATAATACAAAAACTTCTATAGCACCCTATTCTAGAGCTCTAAGGCACTTTACAATAAAATGTTTAAATTTGAAAAATACTAGAGCAAAACTACAAATTAAAATATCGCTTAAAAAGATAAGTTTTAAGATTGCTCTTAAAAGATGTAAGATTTTAATTACATTTTATATTCTCTGGAAGATTATTTCAAAGTTTAGGTGGTGCAGACCAAAAAAGCATGATCACCATAAAATTTTTAACCGCGATCTAGGTGTTACTAACAAGTTCCTGGCTGATGATTATAAATTCCTAGGTGGCTTGTAAGTTTGCAGCAAATCACAAATATAGCTAGGACCTAAATCATTTAAAGATTTGTTATAATGAATGGGACACATGAATTGACAATTTTGAGGGGTGCGATTTGGCTTACAATTATTTAAATGCCATTAGAACCAGTAAGTCTGTTGGCAAGAATTTATGAAGAAATTGATCTACACAAAAGTCCAAAAAAACCTAGCCATTTTTCGGGGATCATGTTTCTGTCCCCACGAAACGTAATGCACTCCCCTAGAAACTCCAGTGTGGGAGGCTAAAAAGAGCCACACAAAGCTTTGTTATGACAGTCTTATCTGCACACATGCCATGTCATGCACTTTTGCTCTCATTGCAACCCATAGGTGATATCTGGACATTCTGAGCCTTTCCCTGTCCTCTGGAAGTGACCTTTTATTTCTTGGTGACTGACCATTGTAAAAATCAGAAAAAAATAAGAATATTTTGCTCTGTTCAGATGTTGGCTTCTCTCTAAAGCGATGAATCAAATGACGTTGACAAAATGCCTTATGGTAAGAAAATATTTCAATAGATCAATGCTGGTTGAGAGAATTATTGCCCATCAAAAAGGGCCTCTATTAAGTTGAGGCAATGGACTAGGAATAAATTTTATGATTGGAATCGAGATTTGATTGAGAGAAAATTTAAGTCGGTATTCTGGGATCGAAGAACCCCATTGGGAACCCTCATACATGTGCTATGTAACTCAGTTGGTACAAACTGAAAAGCACAGGTTCAACGTCTGCTAAAGACTAAATTGCTTCAAGCCTCTATTTTGTTTCCTCTTTAACCAATCGCCAACAAGTTTAAGTTCAAGCTTACGCTCAACTTCACATAATTTACAAAGATTAGGTCATGATTATACAGTACAGGAACCAGAAATATAGACTCATATTTCAAAAAGGCAATATTATTAAAGTAACTTACAGTAAAACCAATGTTGACAAACGACAGCGTTCAACTATTGTTAGTTCAGCTTGTAATCGACAAAATATACTCAAAGCTGAACTAGCTGTTGGGAAACATTATGGCGCTTCTTGAGCTAATGGGTATTTTTTTTAATCAACAGTTTGAATTCGCGAATTTATAGCAAATGCTCTGTGGGATTTAGCAATTGACGATCGATTCTCATCGATTTCAGTCCAATATTAAGCGCCTTGATTTACAAACAAGTCTTACACGATAATACTTGGATAATATTGTAAAATAAACCAAATAAAAAACTTTCCTAAACCGTATTTTCGAGAAAAATAAACCTCCATTGCTAGAATGAATCATAATGAGGAAGTATTAGTACAGTTGTTGTGAGCGATATCGACCAACGAATGCTTGCCAAACTAATAAAAATTCGAAAGAACAGGAAAACCTGCTAAAGCATAAACTTGTTCTTCGTATATCAAACCAAAACTCAAGTAGAACTTTACCTTGAATTGGATGAACAAACAACTTTGACCATTTTGTTCAAAGTCTCGTATTAATTAAAATCCGTATAGTTCTTCCGCAAATAGATCAGGCCCTCTGTTCGATGCGTCGTTGCACCAAAGTGAGAACCTACGTCTCGGGGGCTGGGGCGAGGAAACGCTCAAAACCACCTTTTCCGCCGCAAATTCTTGCGTTTCCACGCGAGACACTAGCCACCCACGCGATTTTTCTGTTATTTTTTTCTGTTTTATGTAATGAAGATTTCAATTTTGATTTTCGCAATTTCGAAAGCTAAAAGCTAACCCTAACCCTAAAGCAAACCTTAATCACGGAGATATTAGATTTTAAACCTTTGTTGAGCTGGTCTCGGGAGACCGACGGAAGTGGAGCCTAAAATGCTAGGCACATATTACAAACAAATCAAACAATAAAAAGGCATTCATTTACATGCACAGTTCAGTCAGTTGCGTTCCTCGGCTGGTTACCAAATTAATAAAGGAAGTATAAAACATGAGTGATAGAAAGTCCAGTATTCAAAATTATCCGCGGAGAGGTAAGAGGAATGGTATGAACACGTTTGTATGCATTTAAGACGAGAAATTTTATATTTTTACTTATTCCTAGGAATGGACGACAAAAAATTATAGTACAAAGAAAGTGCTGCGAAACATAGAGATGTCATTTGCCAGGTGTGTTTAATGAAATTTGAATTTGCACTCTTCTCCTTCTCAAAAATACACTTACAAAAACAAACAAACAAACAAACAAACATCAGTTTTACATGGGTTTGGAAGAAACACTGGACGATTTTTGTGATTCTCAGTGAAAAATGTTAAAAAAAAACATAATAATTCGCTCAAAATACTTCGCTTCAATTATTATTAATGACTGTAATTTACTGGGATTAAAGGATTATTGCAACTTATGAATTTCAGTGGATTCGGTTGAACGAACAATAAAACAAACTCTATGCCAGACTCTTTGATCTATCGTGATAACAGCATTTCAGAAAGGGATTTCGAAAACAAAGTTTGTAAGTTAATTACTCCATGAGCTAACGTCTTCTAAGACGGGTAACTGAGTTATCAGTTTGTGAAACTATGATAGTTTCAAGTCCTGAACAGGCTAAATAAATGATCAACCGCTATAATTAGAACTTTTGGGTTTTGCAATTAGAACTTTTGGGTTCATCTTTGGTCAACAGCCAGAAGTCCGGTTTTTCTCTCTCTTTTCATCTTTGTCTTATTTATTCCTGAGAAACTTGAAGCAGCCACTTGTCATTTCATACGCGACGGTTTTCAAATATGTCATTGCATCATTGTTTCCAGAATGTGATTGCACAATATGTATGTTAATTAGTTGACAGATAGCTTAGTAGCAACAATACCAATGGCACGAAAAAAAGAATTGAACACCAACGTTTTGGTTTTCTTCCAACTGTTCTTTTCGTATGCTGCGTAACGTGCTTCTCGTCGAGTGACGCTTCAAATCTGTTATATCTCTCAGTTAGTAAGTACTCCATAATTGGTCAACTTAGCGGGCAATTCTTAACTCCTGTCTACGGTCGCGCTCAGAAGTCCCTGCATTCACCGGGGCACGCGAAAAAAAATGAAACAACAGGCTATTGTTATGCTACATGAATGTTTCTCATTTCCGGTCAAAGAGAAAAGTTTTTTATTTTCAGCGAGGTGTACAAGGTCGTTTACTTAATATCGTTTCATATCGATACTCTATTTAGCAGGTTGTGCTTTTAGAAGTGAACCCACAAACGACTTTAAGAAATTCCTTGATTTTCAAGCAATGTTTTACAGCATACTCTATTTATTTGTCTTCATTCAACTTTCGCTCGGTTATTATGTTTGCTTTTTGTGAAATTTCTTTTAATGTATAGAGGAAGCTATTTTAAAAATAAAAGTTATTCAGTTAGGATAAAAAAGTGATTTCAACACATGTAACGATGACCCTGAATTGAGAATTATAGCATCGAAGAACAACTGCACATTAAAATTCACATAAACAAAAAGAGTTGGGCAAATTACACAGGAAACCATCGTTAACGACAATTAGTTGTATAGGGAGAGCGCAGGTGTTCTTAACGTCATATGAGTTTTATTTGAACGAGGGATAAGGATTTTCACTGCCCGGCTGCATTTCATTTCACTCCAAATGTTATGCTCATTGTCGGTCATTAACATTTTCAATTGTGTGGGAACACAAGTGTCACCAATGCATCAAGAAAGTCAACAATTCTTAGCTCTACGCGATGATAGGTAACTAGAAATAACTGCATCTGCGCCTGGACACGATATTTCAATTACCGACCAGTGCATGGGATTCGCCGAAGAGGCATCTTTTTAACTTATATCCGACAGGAAAAAATGACCGGCATAACTTGTCAGAGGAATACCCAAGTCAGGTAGATAATACATTAAAAATTTTTGTTCTAGATTCAGTCGTTATCGGAAAATGTACCATTTTGGGCTGAGGAAAATTCCCATGTTGACATAATTTCGATGAGGATTCCGACTTTGAGAGGGAAAACTCTTATGCAAAACGTAATCCCGAAAAATTCCCAGCTTTTCATCGTGTTTGGTGATAAAATATTCAAACTACGCATAATAGAAAGCTTGAGCAAAAATATCAGTGAAGTCTTGAATGTACCAAGCATTTGTTTATACGACAAATGAATAAAAATTGAACCATATTTTAAATTTCTGTGTGTGAAAGACACAAATGTGCACCTGTAAAACTCTAAATTTAATATTTAAAATATCCAATGTCCCAGAACAATCTTCTTTCGTTAAAAAAAGAATAGATTTGAATTTAAAATGAAAAACTATTGAGATATGCGCTGAATTCACGGCATTGAATTTCGCCCTAAACAGTTAAAGCAAATAACGAAATAGTATGCAGTTCGGTTGGAAGAATAAACTTCTTAATTACAAGTGTAGTCAAAAATCATTAGGGTAATTTTAAGAAGAGGTTTCTATGCTTATGTAACAAAGTAAAACTGGTCTGGTCTAAGACTTTTTGACAAATGTAGTCATTCAATGGCAAAAAGGCACATGTATCCCAGGTTGCGAAGCTTTTAATATGCAGATCTAGAAAAGTAGAATATTCGAGAATTTTACGATGTACTCGATCTAAGGTGTTTTGTTTATTTTATTTAAGTCAATTTTATTTTTTCTTTATCTAAACGCCTCGTACTGCAAACAGGAAAATCAAAAAACACAACGCTGTGCAATTATTAGATGTTTTTTCGGGGTTTTACCTCAGTCAGACATTTCAAAAGACGAGCGATCCGTTAAGATCATCTTTGCCACAAAACCCTATCGTGCCTCGAAAACATTATGATTATCCACAGAAAAGCGTTAATTTGATGTACGACTTCTGATGACTCAATTGCATTTACTTTGTAGATTTACAAAGCATGACACCATAGCAGTATGCCTGGCTATATTCCTTCCGTTGACTGCCATAGTACTTACAATGGTGTCAATTCTACCAGCATTAGGGGCTCCACCGTTGCCTGACTTCTCAAATCCTGTCAAGGTATGGTGCATTATTGATTCGTGGCCCCACGCATGCGCGGTGTACTTGGCGGCCATTCAGGCTGGAAGAGATAGAACCCTGATGCATCGCTTAAAGATGGAACCGCAGACCATCCTATTAATTCCGCGCCATATGTCTCGATAATTATGCTTGATCAAAACAACTGGTGGAGTTTCAAAGCAGTTGACATCGATCGAGAAATATATACACAAACAATACTAATCTTAAAAAAAATGGTATTCTTCGCTTGAACAATTGGAATCTTCTACACATGTATTCCATGGGAAATTCCGCCCTGGGTCACAAAGATCAAGGACGGTATCTGAACAATTGTGCACCTACTCTTCCCCTGACCCACCAAAAGTCAACTGATAACAAGTTAAGGTTAATGTTGGTTTATGGGAAGGGGTAGGTATGCAGTTGCTCAGATACTAACATTGATGTAAATAAATGTCCGCAGTTAATCCATGACTCGCTCTAGAAGACACGAATGTACATATAACACCCTTCTTGGTTTTAATGATTTCAGGGCTTTGAGCCAAGAGGCACAGTTTTAAGTGATCAGATTGTGACCCTGGGAAACTACAATCGGGCACTCCACTCTCGCACTCTTTTTACGCAGATATCCAACACCTCACAACTCTACAACGAGGCCAACAGATCGGCGCAACAGACTCCTAGTACTCCAATCCCTCCCCTTCCTAGAATCGACGATGACGTAATATTTGTTTTTGAGGCTACTGATTCCAGTCAGAGCATGTTTGAAGCAACTAAACTGAAGGCCACCTGTTCCATTGAGAATGAAATTCTAAGTTCTAGTTCCCATTTCTCTCAATACTGCTCACGTATTCGTGATACAGAATCTGGTAAAACACGATGTTCCCCAAATCCGTCTCTTGGAAATTACGTAGCCCTACTGAATAACCGCACAACATGTCGAGACATAACTGATCAGGATGTTTCATACGTCAAGAATTTGTTACTTCACTGCCACCCTTACTTTGTGAAACAAACTTTAAAGGAGGACTGTGCCACTTCCAACTGTGAGGGCGTCCCGGCTAATTGCACTAAATACAACGCTGTGTATAACATTTTCCAGTTTCTAACAGACAATGAGATGAGTCCATCCAATGGCATGTTTCTGAAATATACTACATCATTCCCAGCATTGTACTCATATGACTATGATAGTTTATACAAAGAACATTTAAAAGATGGAATTCCCGAAAAAGAAGGGGTAAAATTAGCATCTTTCAAGTTCTCCAGCTATAAGTTAGACCAATTCAGTGAGAAGCTTCTTGCTGAAGTCATATTTCCTGCTCTTGCTATGATTTTTGTTTTTCTTATTATGTGGTTTTTCTTGGGTTCTTTCATTCTCACTTTCACTGGCCTTTTTTGCATTATTTATGCAATTGGTCTTTCATATTTTCTTTACACAATGGTCTTCAAAATAGACTTCTTTCCATTTCTGAACGTTACCACGCTGGTGTTTTTGGTGGGCATTGGAGCAGATGATGCTTTTGTGTACTACGACATATGGAGACAGACACTTGCTGCTAACCCTTGTGCAAACATCATGCAGCTGACATTGAAGACCTTGCGTTATGCTGCCCTCTCCATGCTTGTCACAAGCTTGACAACAGCATCAGCATTTTTCGCAGGAGTATCTTCCTCCATCACCGCCATTAGGTTGTTTGGACTGTTTGCTGGTACATCCATCTTGACAAATTACCTGCTGATGATAACATATTTCCCAGCTGTTGTGGCTTTGCATGAGAAGTGGGTGTTGAAGTACGTAGATGGACATTCAAGCTTGGAGGGGGTCCCAGCGGAATCAAGTGATCCCGAGAAGACTGACTCGGTTCAGAATGCACCTGTAGCACAGGATATGTCACAAGGTATCGCCGCTAAATTAGAGGAAAATAGTGGTGTCAAAGAAAAGAAACAAAGCTTTTGTTTTTTGCAAGTCATAGACTTTCCATGTTCTTCGTTAATATCAGCCACAAGTTTTTTCAAAACAATCAGCTCAAAAATGTTCGAAGATTGGTTGCCAAAAGCAGTGATCAAGTTACGTTATGTATGGATTACCCTGTTAGTGTGTCTT